GGGTCCAGTTCTTCAGGTGCTATGACTGGGGTGGGTCGGGTGGATTTTTCTCTAAGTGGGTTAGCAAGACGTTTTAGATGACCATCTTCACCAAACCAGATGAGTTTCTGGGAAAAAAAGAATGAAATAAATATTTATATGGATGAATGGATGAACGGGTTGATATGTGGGTGGGTGGCTTAGTGGATGGATGGATGTGATGAAATCGACAGACAGGTGGGTAACTGGATGGGTGCAATGAAGTGGGATGGAATGGGATGAAATGAAAAGGTGGGTAGGTGTTTGGATGGATGGGTTGAGATGAATGGGTGGGTGGGTGAATATATAGGATGGGATGGGCAAGTGGGTGAGTGAATGACTGGACGGATGGATAGGATAGGATGGGATGAATAGTGATGAGTTTGTAAATGGATGATTGGATTGGATGGGATGACATGGATGGGCAATTGACTGAATGGGTGGATAGAATGAAATGCATGAGTTATTGAATGGTTGCATTGAAGGGATGGTTAGGATTGATGGATAGATGGGTAGGATGGATGAAAATATGGTCAGGTGAGTGGATAACTGGATGGATTGGATGGAATGAATGGATGGATGGATGGATGGGAAGAAGGGATTACAAATTGCCTACATTAGTGTGTGACATGAAGGGGTCATGAAGGGGTCTACGGACCCATTGTATGCCGTCAAAGCAGCTCAATTTAAAGGACAAAACAAAAGAATTTCAATCTCATGAGAATTGGAAACCTATTGTTATGTCCTCCAAATTGAGCAGCATTCCGACAGACTGCAAGGGGTCTATAGAACTAGATTTATGTTCTATTAACAGGATGTACCTTATCAGTGCCAACAAGCCTATCTTCCATGATATTTAGGTTAGAGAAGCAGACTGGTGGTGGTTTACCAACATAAAACCCTTCCTCTTCAAGATACCTGGGCTCTCGCCCTTCTGGAACTTTCTTATCAATGGGAACTGAAAGAAATAAAGGGCAACATGTTGAATATTTTATCCTGTACTATAAAATAGTTTAATAACATGCATGCTGATTAGCTTATACCATGTTTACTGTATATCTGAATGCAAGGACACGCTCCCACAAAATCATTCAAAAATATTTAATAAAAGCAATGAATGTCAAAGGGCTGCTTATGTTTCTGTATTGATTTAAACCCTATGGGGGCTGAGGAACACTCGAAAAGCATGCTGCATGACAGTACAGTATTCCATCAATAGAAGGGGCTCATAAACAATGAGCTACGCCTATAGTTGCTAAGCTTGCTTCTCTCATGCTTCTCTCAGTTCCCATCTGAAATTGCCAAAACATCAAATTTGAATTTTTTATCTTTTTTTTTTTAACTGGAAAATCTTTCAATGTGTTATATGCAATCTAAGTCATCGTATGAATATTATTTTCAATTGCTATATAATCCTACCTGCCAGGATACTTGGTACTTTATATATAGTTGATTCAATCTCCAGCTGCTTGTATTGCGGAACGTAACGTGGTTTGCCCCAAAATGTTGGCAAACCTTCATCAGGAACTTCAGTTACCTTTTATGAAAACAAAAAATAGAAAAAGAATGACTAAGGATAATTCCTTCCAAATCATAATCACTAATTATTTAATTGTTAATTTAGGTCGTTTATTTTTTTTAAATTTTTATTTATTTATTTATTTATTGATTGAACATAAAGCATGATGGGAAACCGAGTACTACACAAATTAGAACGAAGAAATCAATAGAATTATCACCAAAAATTACTCTTATTTTTGTCTGTAGAATACTTACAGTTTCATAGAAAATGTTGAAGTAAAAATCGTCAGAGGAATTTTTAGAGAGCTGAAAAACCATAAGTACTCGGTTTCCTATCATGCTTTGTGCTAAAGATTCCTGCTGGTGCACATTGGTTATTGGAGGATTCTAATGGTAAATGTCTGGTTATTTGTACCTGTTCTGTTGTTGCGTCCTTCTGGTCAGTCCCCTCGGTATCCATACTACCAACAAAGAAGTTATATGCCTCCTCTTCTGACGGCGCTCCCTTAAATACATTCATGTGAAACATTCTTGTTATTAATAACCAATTATTATTGGATATGGTTTATCCTGATATCCTGAATAGACCTTGCCCTTAATGTTTCCCCATTTCAGACCATGTGTCATTCTCTAATTCAAAACTCAAACCAAGATCCTTATTCTCACGAGAAAAACACTTGTCCTGAAATGAGAAAACATTATGCCAAGAGAGCATAAATAAGAGAGCATGCATAATAGGTAAATTACGAGCCTTATATGAAACACGATGGAATGAAATATGAAATAAGAGAATGAAACTTCTTGATAACACGTGCGCCAGGTAAATTCCCGGTTGGACTATTTTTGGTAACCGGATACATTTTAAATTTCGCCTTACCCTACTCCCGTGTGTCATCAATTTGCACGCGCGTACTCTTTTCGTTTCATTTTTAGCGATCAAAACAATAAATGGAAAGAGCATACACACGCAAGTCGATGACACACGGGAGTAGGGTAAGTAGAAATTTAAACAGCATCCGGTTACCATAAATAGCCCAACTGGGAATTTACATAGTGCATGCATTATTAAGAAGTTTCCCTCTCTTATTTATGCTCTCTTTATTATGCTCAAGCTGAAAAGGTTATAGTAGTTGCACTGAAACTGATGGTAGCCTATTGCCTGTCCATTAATCTATCATGACAGGTGTTTCAATCAGCCTGTATCAATGAAATCAGTATGTAATGCATAACCCTTACATCAGGATGTCTTATATGAGTCATTCTTGCCATTTTCTTCCATCTATTGACACTTGCAATACTCTCTTGCAAAGCTTTATCCTCTTCTTCTTCCATCTCGTCTAGTCCTGCCAGCTGAAAGTTAGAATCATCAATCAATCAATTAATCAATAAACTTTATTTAAAGAGAGTGACATATTAACCCAGTGAGTTGTCTAACTTACTGATATAAACTTATGTCAAAGTTAAATCTATTTCATATGGGATGCTTGTTGTACCTTGTTAGGCTCCTCATTCTGGATATTTATTTTTGGATCATCATCTGACTTATATCACTTAGCTAGATCATAAATATTTGGTACCTTTTAACATCACCTGGGGAAGACCCAGGTATCTCTTAGGGTTAATTTTCAAAATTTTCAAAAGAGCATCCATGCCTTCTATTATATCCCCATCAATAATATCAAGCATGCTGTATACTAATATCACCATAAATATCAACAATACCATCACATCTTATCATTATCACCATCACCATTCCCAATATTTTCATCAACAACATCAAGTGACAATTATTATTCTAAAGTCACAATGTCATTGCTATTTTACATGTTTTTACCCCTGCTTCATCAAATCTTGTTGGTAGTGGATGATCTCTTAGGCCTTTCAGTCTGCGTTCAGGTGTAGTCTACGAGAGAGAAAAGAAACAGACATTGGAAAAATCCTTAAAGAAGAAGGAATGCAAACTAACTTCTAGTAATATGATCTGTCTGTCCATCCATCTATCCATCCATCCATCTGTCCATCCGTCCATTCATTCGTTCACTATTCATTCAATCAAACATCTATCCATCAATTTGTTCATTCGTTCAGTCATCCATTCATTCCTCCCTCCCTTCTTTTCTCTCTTTCTTCTTTCATTCAATCAACCAGTCAATCAGTCGGTCCATCCATAGTTAATGTATGTTAACTATGGTCTGTCCATCTGACTGTCTATCTATGTGTCTGTCTGTCCCTTTGTCCATCCGACTGTTCATGTCTTCAAAAATTAGGGAGCTGAGTATTATATCCTAGCACTTTCTTTATAGGACTCCCTGTAGTGAGGGGATTAGCATTAACATGATCATAATAATATTTTATCATATTATTTATATGCATTTTCACTTACTTCCTCCAAAGCACCCATTGCCTGAAAGACAAATAAAGAAAGAGGATTAAACAAGAAAAAACTGAAATTCCCCCATCCTCCCACCCCCTTCCAGTATCCTAAGAATAATGCATTCTAATTGGATGCACAAGTGGGCTGTATTTTCTATCTTTGCCCACGGTCCAGGATCCTGGCTTCTTATGTCATCGGCCCACACAGGGTTCAATTTCAGAACCTTTGCCAGTAATGTTGTTAATCAAAAACAAAAATCCTTCCCTACTTGACCTTCTCTTCAACAACAGTATTACCAGTAGACCATTCACATGGTCAGCAGGTTTCAAAGCAGTTTTTCTGGAAGTAGCAGACCTAAAAAATGAGCCATACTCCAGCAAAAGCCGGCAAATTTCAGCATTTTCTGAAAAATTATTTTGAATCCTGCAGCGTGCATGGGATAACATATTTCTAAACAACAAAACAAAACAAATGGGAAAGTAAATGGAGGAAATTATATATATTTTGTTCAAAAGTCGGTCCTAATAGAGAAAAACGGTGGCCTCTGCCTTTAGAATGAACTTTGGCTGTTCAAGATCTCTGGCACAGTTTTTCTGCCTAACTTCGCTTTCTAACTTTCGCTTCACCCACTTGCACATTTATGAATTAATTACTGATAGATTACATTACCTGTCTCCCCCTGACTTTACTGCGTAGTCTTTCTCTGATAGATGCATTTAGATTCATGCTGTCACCAGCTGTTGAAGGTGATAGCCTATCATCACCAGTAGTCAACTTTTGTAGGCGTGGCCCAGGACCTGACGGAGATTCTATAAAGAAATGGAAATAGATGGTTTGAGTTGGTAACCAAGCAAACTGTGTTGAGCACTAAGTAAAAAGAATTTCATGGCAAACTTCCTCAGCATTAGATATATTGAATTTAAGAAATTATCATTAAAGGGTTGTAAGAGTTTTTCAATCTGGGTTCTTGGACCTTGGATCTGAATTCAACAAATTGTGTTGTGAGTCCCAATCAATATTTACAAAGTCCTCGTCAACACAAGTAAAGTGTTACGTGTAGAGTGTACGTAGATGAGACCAAAAAAAAGTGAAAATGATCATGAAGATGATGACGACATCTCTCACTCAGTCTGGGACCCTCCTGGGACCAGAATTTTAAAAAGTGGGGTTCCAAAATGGCCGCCATGCAGGAAAAGCTGGTAAGATTGGCTTCACAAAAGGGGGCTTCCAATTTCATTCTTTTGAATGTAAAGAACATGATTGGCTTCACTAGATTTCACAAAAGGGGGTTCCATGGAACTCAAGCAACCACCCCTGGATCCACCACAATACTCAGTCTCTAGAGACTTTACCTGGCAGTGCAGAAGTGGATGGCTGCTGGCTTTGGGCTTGTTCTCCCCATGCACCACCTGACGGGCCACTCTCCAGGGTACGAGAAAGCTAAAGTGAAGTTAGATTATAATTTAGGGTGATAAAATGTGAATAATAATAACCAACTGAGTTAAATGAATTCCCCCAAAGAGATTATGGGTCAATTATTATTGGTTAGCATTTTCCTAGCAGAGCCGGAGTTGATTGAACTAGAATTCCGCCATGAGTTCAACTAGTTGCATTTACGATCAATTTAAAGAATGAAGAATTCATAGTTCATGGGTTTTCTTGGCAGAATCATGGAAATGCTAATATGGCAAAATACGGCATTGAATCCTTAATTCTGATTGGTTGATCTTGAGTTTGTTCTGAAGTTCAACTAAGCTGGATGGTATATGTGGAGACAGGAAACTGAGAAAAATTCTTTTATGAAGTTTAGAATTTTTTTTGAGTTCCCTGTTTCCACACAGATTTCTATATCATAAGTAAATTCTAATAATATATCACTTCCAGTATCTCACCTCTTCTTTTCTTTGCTGTCTTCTGGTTTGTAAGTTTTGAAGCATGTCATGGTCTTGATCCAGATCCTTTATCACAGAAATAAATAATTTGCTGTCTGATTAGAGTATGATTAATAATAATTTCAATAATAATATATGTGTGTGTGTGGTCCACATTCCCTAGTTTTTTTCATATTCAATGGACTACTCTATGTACTGTTAAATTAATACCCTACTCTACCCTCCCCTCCCCTAGCTATCATGTCCTAACCTCTCTTTGTTCCTATCCTATTCTACGCCTATCCCTTTCATACTCTACACTATGCTACCCTACTCTAAGACTGTTTTGACTTCTCTCTAATCCGTGTAGCTTGAGCTTTGAAAACTCTTAAAATAAAGCACTGATGGAGAGAGGGGGGTAACGAGTACACTGTCAGCTCCCTTGAAGACCAGTTACTAGGTGAAGGAATACTGATGCTAAATAAGGCCTTCACCTTTACATGTGTACATACCCTATCCTTAATCCTATCCTATCCTTAGTCCTATCCCCTGTATACCCTACCCATCTTCCCTGACTTCCCCCTACTCTACTTTGCTCTCACCTCCCCTGCCCTGCCCTACTCTACCCATCCTATCCTACCATACTCTACCCTGTTCTACCCATCCCACTCTGTTTACCCACTTATCTCAAGCCCAACCTTAATCCTACTCTATTCTACTCCATCCCTAACCATGATAGTACCAAGGGCGGATCCAGCCAAAATTTTAGGGGGGGCTTATTGAGTTTAGGGGTGGCTAATTGAGTTTTTTCTGCCAACACAATGGAAAACAAGATAAAACAGCTTCATTTTTTTCCTGCTGAAAGGGGGGCTTCAGCCCCCCTTTGCCCCCCCTGGATCCGCCCTTGAGTACTCCCCTGATAGTAAGACTAATACACAGGTTATATGCAGCATACCTGTACAAGTGTCTCGTCTGCCCCACCAGGGCTTAATGTTTGAATTTCAGTAACTGTGTCATCTGCCATTCTTGATGGTGTCTGCGAAAACATTTTAAATATAATGTTCAGTCGTGTTCAATGATGATTATTATTATCCTGAGAATGTCTAGGTTCAAATAACTACAAAGAAAGTATATGATGTCAATCAGTATTTTTTTAATCTGATCAAAATCTCAGAAAAACAATACCTCTCTCAGAAAGAAAGTGTAATTTGCATCCTCAATCTTTCTTTATTAAGGATGAAATTTAAATAAGTTTTCGTCAGCTTGAATGAAAGACACAATATTCTTCGTTTGCAAACGACGTCATAGCCGCCATGTTGGAAGAATTTGACAAAAGATTTTTCAATGAATTCTTTTGTTATATCTTCCAACATGGTGGACATCCCTTTTGTTATTGTGCTCTCTTGGGATTGATTGCAAACCAAGGATTTGAAAATAATCAGATCAATTTCTCACCAAAGTATTGGAGTGGGTCCTTGTTTGATGCATTGTTTCATCAGCATCAGATTGATATGAGTTGGTCTCTGACATGATGGTTGCCTGGAACAGCAAGGGTATTTTAATTTAGATACTGTACCTACCCTGAAACAACCTCTAAAATATAAAATAATTCCTCAAAAGCCTTACCTCCATCGCAGCTCTTCTTTTCTTCATCTTTTCAAGTAGTACACTGAATATTTTGCATGAGATGGAGTATTAGAAAGTACTAAAAAAACTTATATTTTACAACCACCACTCCGCGGGGCTCTTCCGTGAGGTTCCCTCCAGACGCACTACCACTACATTCTATATTTACAACATACAACACTCAACTCGCATGTTGCTTTTTATGGAGGGAGGAAATTGGAGATCGCAGAGAAAACCCTCATGGCAAGGGAAAGAACAACGCAACAAACAAACTCAACTCACATATGATCCAGTCTGAGCCAGGGCTCGAACCCAGATGACAGCGAGTGGTAAGAGGTGAGCGGTAAACCACTACGCCACCAATGCTACCCATGACTAAAGACTAATTCAATAAACGTAGCGTAATTTCCTTTCGACAGCAGGGTGCCAGAGTCTCCCTCCTCCCCGCCTAAAAGAAGGGAGAGAAAGAGGAGAGACTCTGCTAGCAGGGAAGGAGCCCACAACAAAGAACAACAATAGAATGTATTGTACACATTTTTATAAAAATAAACTTTGACTGCAAATTAATACAGTCGAATAAATAATGTTTTCTAGTAAATACGTGACAGGAATGCTAGTAAATTATGACTGGATCCGAATCCTTTCAAAAAAAACTCACCTGTTTGTGTCATCCATCTTGAACAACTTTTCTCTTCCACAACTTGTCACCAAAATACTCTCAAAAATAATGCTTCAGATAAATAATATTTTCATTTCCTCTGTCCAATATATTCATAGTTAAGCATATTAGGTCTCTTAACGTAATTTCTTTGGCTATTTTTGCATTTTTCATCTATCTATTTAGTCTTTTTAGGCCCAGTTGTTGTACAAGCTCGACATAGACTTCTCTTGGATACATATTCTGCACAGTTTATGGACTGTTTTTGTCGTTTTTAGCCTTTTTAACCTCCACAACGTTGTTCCTTAATAATTCGAGCATAAAATTTCAGTAATAACATTAGCGAAACTGAGACAAAACAAGAGAAAAATAGATTTACAGTCACCACAAACAAAGACAATTTGTGGACTTTTTTTGTAGAAGGAATTTTCGCGCCGTACACAATAAACACCAGACCACCACGGTACAAAAAATGCCACAGGATACCCAAATCTAGGTTCTTTTTGTCATAAATTGTTGCTCAAAACCACAACAAACAATAATAAAAGATAGAAAATCAAGTTTTGTTTGCGTTTTTCGCTTTATTCTATTTGTAAGTCCATTGCCTGAGCTTTTTTCTTGGGAATAGTAAATTGTTGTAAATTTTTTTGAAGCGGGCTTCCTGTGTATTTTTCCAACAATCCTCTGCGAAGATTCGCCGCTCATTTGCTTGAAAATAGTTTTGTAGGAAAGTCGTAGAAATCTAAAAAAGGCTATAAAAGTTCTCTATTTTTCCTCCAAAAGAATTTATTTGATGACTGCTGGAAGTTTTTGAGTTGCTTGAGGTTTAAAAACGGTGAGTTGAAACGATCGATCGTAAATATTATTTACTTTTTCAAGATTATCCGACCGGGAATATTGCCTTGTCAACGACAACAATATTGTTGAGCTGTTTTTGTCATATTGTTTTTAATAAGTTAAGTTTTATGATCTTGATTTCTATAGATCCTCAGCTGAATAAGACTGAAGTTATACAGTATACTGCATTGCTAAAGACTAAAATGGTAAGGTTTAAAAACCCAAGCTTTAACGACCGTTGTTGCAGAAGCTAAATTAAATTTTGAGAAAAATTTTCATGCTTCCTGACTCTGGCAAAAAATATTACAGTAATAAATTCGAATTATTATTAGTTTATATGTCGTGGTTTTGGCCCATTCTTGTGTTTTCTGTATATTTTTCTTATTTTTATTCGTATTTGAGTTACCGTAATCGTTAACTCAAATAAGATCGTTAGATCGTTAGATCGACTCTACTTTACAAATTTAAAAATATATATATTACTATAAATCTTACTGTATAATCTTATCAGTAAGATACAGTAAATAATATAGTGTTATGATATATTTAGTTTAGAGCTACGAAGTCGACAGAGGAGGCTGATAGTGACTCAGATTGGGACAGTCTGTCTGGTGGAGCAGAACCACGATCTGACAACGAGCCGTCCCCAACACCACATCCACCAACTTCACTAAACACTAACTCAACTCACATTCAAACACCTAACGTTAAAAACACATCAACACCTGTTAAAAGTAATGTCAAATCCGCTCCAAAGACAGCGACAACTACGAATCTTAGACCAGGGAAAATGTATGGGAAATCTCCAGGTGTGACAACGTTTGTAGACAGGGGTGATTATAACGACAGCACTGCTGATAGACGACAAAAACTTTCACCAATTCCAGTAGATTCTAATTCAAATAGAATAAGTAGTAATGTTGGAAGTAGAAGACAAGAAAATGCATTGGAAATGAATGAATTGGATTTGAATCCTGTGAGAAGTGGACACACCAACATGGGATTTCATCGAAGTGGCGATGACAATCCCCCTTATGACTTCAAAGGTAAGTAATTAATACTTCAAGCACAATATCTGTGAAAATCTTGTGAAAATATGCTGAGTCTGGTAGGCCGCCTGGCATGTTGAAATTTTTGATTTATTATCAATTGGTACCATTTGATGAAAGATTTCTCATAAGCATCCATTGTTAACAACACCACAGTGGCCACCATGTTTTTGACTTTTGACTCTCTTGGGGATGCTTGCAACCCATAATAGTTTATGCATTTAGCCCCTATGTCTCCAAGACGTCCATAACAATTTATTATTCATTTATCTTGGTGGATGTCAGTGCATGCCTTGAAAACATTTGGACTAAACATTATAACTGTCATCTAGATGATAGGACCTTTGACGAGCCAGACTTAACTAATATGCACATGAAAAACCATTTTGAAAACATGCTTGCATCATCTCTGGCGTCACCGACCTCACTCCTGTCAGGGATCTTTAAGGAGTCCCAGCTACTGTGACATACATCCCTGGGGAAGTAATTATTTTTCGAAGCTTTTTGTAAGACAACCTTGCATGTTTTGTCCACCAGATGCTTTACCCAAGCAGGACACCAGAGGAGGAAGACCTGAACAAAAACAGCACAAAATGAAAAAAGCATATATAAGGAACCAAACCCCTGACCCTGCCAACACACTGACACCAAGACTACCATCTGACCATTCCTGGGATAATAGTGACCAGGAAGAGGAAGATGGTCCTGGAATTTTTCCTTCTACATCACCAAGAATGTCCAATCACAAGCAACAAGCAAACAAGAGCTTCAAAGGGACAGGAGATATTCAAGAATATGCCATTGATGTTGACATACCTGATGATGAGGCTTGTTGTGTTCCATATCAGAAAAAGAAAGGAAATGGGTAGGTTGCTTGCTTGTCTTATTTTTGGATTGCACGTTACATGATTGCGGCCATGTTGGTGCCATTTAACAAAAGATTTCTCATGAGCATTTATTGTTAATGGCACCACAATATGACTGCCATGCTTTTGTCTTTTAATTCTCTTGGGAATGCTTGCAACCCATCAATATTGCAGGATGATGTCAAGGGGGTGATCATTTTAAGAAGAAAACCAGTAAATAGCTTTCTCTTTAGATTTTACACTATTTCTCTGTTATGGCTAGCCAGACTGGATGGTTAGCCTAGCCACCCATTCCACCCACCCCCACCTTCCTGGATCTGCCCTTGAGCAACAGACCTTCCCAAATTCGCTTGCATGACCATGAAACAGTGGTTTAAAGTCAAGACTGAACTTGTTTCACTTATTTATCAATTGAATCCAACCTCTTCTTGAAACTATTGTTTCCTGACCAGTCAAGCGAATGGGTTGCTATCAATAGACGTTACTTGATAGCTGCATTTTTAATGGCTTGTAGAATATTGGAGGTTGTTTTGATCTCTTGTTTTCTGGTTTCATGTCATAGAAAAAGTCAAATACAATAGTTTGAGGACTTATTTTGACATGTTTTGACTTAACATCAGCTAGTTGCACCTCAGTCAACTGCTTTTTTGCCCCCCTGAGTCAATCCCAAAAAGTCACGTGATTGATAGTTAACAATTCAGGAAAGGTCTTAATCAACTTTGCGCTTTTACAGTGCAACAAAAAAAAAAAAAAAAAACACAAATGAATCAGATTCAGGTCACTTATTTAGGTCAAACTCTAATACATTAGATTTTGATACTCCTGCATTGGAATCCTTGAAGTCATTGATTATATTATACTATTATGACCTCTTACATGGAATTCTCTTGTCTTTTTTCAAGCTATACTTACATGTTTCATCATGGTAAGTTCCAGTATTTTAGTGTTGTACCTGAATGGAGAGAACCTTACATGAAAACTATAGGAGAAAGGTGAGTAAAAAAGCCATCGTTGGGTTTCACTTTAAGTCACAAGGAAAATCATTTAGGTCTGAGCAAAATCTCTTCATAAGTACAAAAGATACTAATTCCATTTTCTTTTCTTTTACGTTGACTGTTAGTCACTTATTATGCAACTTCCTTAATTGGCCAAATAACTTCAATCTACAATCCATGAACCAGAATAATGAAAATGTCAGGGCTCTTGGTTTTGCAATTATTAATAATTACTATTAATTATTCAATATTTTCTCGTCTTAGGACAGAGCGGTGGCTTACATACTTTTGGCAGGAATTCTTTGGTACTATAGGCCTTCTAGTTGACTTTGGACTTATTTTTCTATTGGAGCTCATCAAGTTTACATTTCGTAAAGTGCTGGTCAGACTACTAGTTGGATTCATTATCGTATTTGGTGACCATTTACTCAAGCCGGTACTAGCAGCTCTGTTTAATAGTTTCCTTCAGCCTAGTCTTAGTTTTCTCTGGAACTCTTTTGTTGGACTTAGAAATGCTATTCAGCCTTTACTGGACATTACTCAAGAAGTAGTATCACAAGCAACTTCTTTACTCAAAGGATTTAGATTGTTTGAACTAAACTGGAGACCAGTTTTGGACACCAATGCTAATAATTCCAGGGTTTCACAGCAGTGCAGGATTCAAGAGTTATAAATCATCATATTACGTAAAGCTATTACAGTTATATGATTTTAGTATAATTTTAAAGTGAATATAGTTTAGTGCACTGTCAAGCAGTGATTATTTGAGGAGCAGTGATTATGAGGTTTCCCAAAATTGCCAAAGCAGAAGTACATGTACCCTGCGAGCAGAGGTTTTTTTCTGACCCTCCGTGGGCTGGCTGGTTGGGGAAAAAAAATACTACTTTTTAATACTATTTTTAAATATATTTTTTTCTCCCCGACCAGCCAGCCCACGGAGGGTCAGAAAAAAACCTCTGCTCGCAGGGTACATGTACTTCTGCTTTGGCAATTTTGGGAAACCTCATAATTTTTGCCTTTGGCGAATGATTGTTAAATTAATATATTTTTTCCTTTTTATGGTTTTTCATGATTATTTGGTGATATGGAAATTTTTGTTATATTCCAAGTTAGTGTGGGTTTGGTCAACAAGATTTTTGAATTATTAGAAATTATTTGAACATCATGTTTGTACTCCAAAGTACATGTAAATAAAGTTTGCCTACAAAAATAAGATTGTTGGTATGAAATTATTTCCAAAACAGAACACGTAGAGCATTCAAAAAGGGCTGGGAGAAGCATCAAACAGCATCCTGCTTCTCAACTGCTTTATAACTGCACACAATACATTTAAATTTCTTTTCATAAATTATTTGAGATAACACATGCACCAGGCATCCCAGCCACTTTTTAGACAAATTTCATAGGAAATATAGGCTGTGCAAGTTCTAAATATAGGAAAATATAGGATATTTTCCCAAAAATATATGCACTTTATAGGAGCCAAGATAGCTTTTCAGTGGCGTAACCAGGGATCAGGAGGGTGCACAGGCAATGATTTGCAGAACTAAAAAGCCATAAAAAAACAGAACCAAAAAAAAAGGGGGGGGGCATTTTATTTCCTTCGCCAAATATGCTAAACAGTGTAAAATATAAATGTATCAATCAGCAGTTGTCCTATTTATAGGAAATATAGGTTTTCTTTAAATATAGGCTCTTTATAGGATCCTATACAAATTATAGGAAATATAGGATATATAGGTCTGGGATACTTGCATGCACTGATTGGCTGGCTACCATGGCTATATCAGGGGACAGAGACATGCTTATGAAAGTCAAAAATACTTTTCAAAGGCAAGATGAGATGGCTGCTTATGTCTCTAACGCTGGGAGTTGCGGAGCACCTGAAAAGCAAAAGAAACACTCGACTACGCCTTGCATATCTAAGCTTGCCTCTCTCATGCTTTACAGCTCCTAGCTAGTTTACATCACAGTACAGAGACATGCATGCACATTTTATTTTCCTTAAATACAAAATATTAGAATAGCCATTATCTTGGATTACATGGTATGTGAACATTGTAATCTGAGACTTAAAGCAGTTACATCGTGATCTAGCTTCAGTACAAGCATGCCTTACATGGTGTCATTTTGTACTCAAGCTAGACCACAATGCACTTTGTTTATCAAACTCAGTAAAAGTATGTCTGGAGCATGAATCAAAGAAACAAGCAAGATTACAGTGCATGAAAATAACTTTTAAACCCACGAGCAAAACCTTGCTAGTAAATTTTGTTCTTAGCAAAAATTTCAACACCACTAGTTGTATGGGGTGAATGAGAAGCTTTACTTGATGCAGGTTCTAAACTTTTCAGTCCTTCAATTTCTGGACTGTGGTCATACTCGCAAAACTTAACTAGTTAAATTTTTAGTCACTAGCTAGATACAAAATTCACCCACAAGTGTTAATCTCGTGCCCTGCTATAGACAACAAGTAACGAGGCAAATACAAATGAGACACAGTTTTGTTGGATGGGATTTTATTGCTGATTCATAAAGGTTTACTTCAGTGGAATGAATCGAGAAGAATGAGTAGCTCCAATACCAGGTCTTCCGTGCTTGACAGGCTTGTATGTGATGGAGAATTCACCAAGATAGTGTCCAATCATCTCAGGCTGCGAAACAAATAAAGGAACACATCAGTTGCTAAAATGCTTGGAAGGCTGGTATGGTGAACATTTTGTCTAACATTTAAAGTTTCCATGGTAACTGTAATTGGCTTTCGATTGGCTGATTCCGTGTTAGTGGTTAAATACATGTAACTCATCCCAAAAAAATCTAAACAACTATTTACACAGCTTATTGTACCAGTTACCATGGAAACATTGGGAAACTAGTCAATTGAAGCAAGGCAAAGATTTGACCAGACAAGCTTCATTTCTGCCCGGACATTGTCCTTTGACTGGCCATTATATTTAGCCCTGCTGTATGATAAACCCTATTCCCTGTTTTCCCACTTCAGATCAACTCATTCCCTTGAGCATTATTTCTTTGTTGGCAAGTAGTGGTTGAGAAGATACATTAATATAGAGGAAATTGGAACAGAGAATTAATATCTGTTTTAAAAGGAAAGGCAGATGGACCTTTCTCACACGGCAACCATGTTGATTGCGACAATAGATTTTCTTCTAGCATTCTAGGACGAGGTCACGCATTAAAATAAACATTTAATTCTCATGGAAATGATTATGATGCCATATATGTTCAAGGCCCATGGCCTTAAACTGAATAAGACTGCACCAAAGTGAATTAGAGGGACAATAAACTTACTGTTTCAGATCGGATAGAATTCATTTCTACTTAGATAAAATATCCCTCCCTTGTAGTACAGGTTTACATACATCGTGTGGCCATATTAGTACCCACCCTCAAAATATATTTACAGGACATGCAGACATCTCTCACACTGTGACTGGCTCAAAAAATGTATCCAATCCATACAGCGCAGTGTCCAATCATATTTCATAAATATCTATGATCTTGGACACCACATATCAACCGAACAGAAGATATATATACACCTCTACAACTTCAGCCTTAGAATCAGAGCCTGGTTGTACAAAACGTGGATAGCACTATTTGATGCATGAATCCTTTTCAAGTGGATAAATTTATTGAGTAACAGCAACTATTAATCCACTGAATAAGATTTATCAGATAAAAGATTTAATAAGATTGACCATTCTATACAATAAGATTTATCAGTCAGATAGTGCTATCCACCCTTCGTACAACCTGGCTCAGGTCTTCAAACAATGGCTGGTCAGTCACAGTCATGATCAATGGCCAAATAAGTTTGAGCTCAGTAAAACCTCATTTTTGGCTGAACGTTTCTGGTCAATATGACAACAATGCAACGTTTTGACTTGACAAGTTCTGCACGGAGCAGCCGTGCTTTTTTTACAGCCCTCAGCATGACAATATTATGCAAACTAAAAATATCCAAAGGATCTACCAAAAACTCGAATTTGTATCGTTGGAGTGCAATCAAAGGACTCAAAATCTCTTGAGATATAAATAACAATGAAACAGCCGTCATGTTGATTGATTTAACAAGAGAAGCTAATGAGCAATGCTTTATTACTATCAACCAACATGGCAGCTATGATGTAACCTGCACCCCAAGAATAGGTGAACATGAGTGTTGAAGTATAGAATGGGTACTAAACATCTTGTTATTTTCTACCATTACCTTGATTTCAACCTGGTTGAAAGTCTTGCCGTTATAAACACCAACAACACTGCCAATCATTTCAGGAACGACTATCATATCTCGGAGATGTGTCTTAACAACGTCTGGTTTTTCCATTGGAGCAGCCTCCTTCTTTGCTTTCCTCAACCGTTTAATGAGGGCAGTCTGCTTTCTCTTCAGACCTCTGGAAAACCTACGCCTCTGACGACAATTCACAAGTTCCATAAGCTGTTCATGTGAAAGATCAAGAAGCTGATCCAAATCTACACCACGGTAGGTGAATTTACGAAAGGTACGCTTCTTCTTGGGTTGATCTGCAGCTTCCGACTATCGTAAAAACAAAGGCGATTTAAGCGCAAAAGATGTAAAAACTCGATGAAATAAAGGTTTAATAATGAAGATGAATAACTAATCTAATGTTGGAAATAGTTTTAAAGATTCACTTTTGCTTTTTAACGTGGATGAAAAAGGATTTAATCTTCAACTAAAACTCACCATCTTCACGTTCGGAGAGAAACAAGAAAAGAGAACGAGGATAACTGGAACCCAGGACTTCTACAACCGTTCACTCCACCCTTACCACAGGAGGCCCACAATAATGTTCATACTTTATTATATGCACTTTCTTTACTAGTAATTTAAACTTAATATTGCTTATTTTATAAATCCTAGATTGCAAACATTCTTAGGCCAAAGAAATTATGTACAGTGTAAACAAATAGCTTAGGATGCAAATTTTATTATTTATAGGCCGGAACTCGGTAATTTGAAGTTTCCCCTAAAAAAAAGAAGACGGAATAAAAAGGGTATGGAATAAACATAATTTTCCTTTACTTTTTTACTTTATTTTCTCATTTTTTACTTCGTTTCCTTCGAATCAAAATGGTCTTAATTGGGCTTCCTGTGGATTAAACTTCTCGACCGAGTTTCCTCTTCTCGAAGAGGAACGCCTGTTTTATTTCAACCAAGACAAGAAAACTCATCCCTAACATTTTTAACGTTTTACACAAAAAATTCTTTTAAAAATGGCTAAAAAGGCAAACCCTTTGACTGATTTACCAACAGCTTGTCGCTTTGCGGTTCTTAAAATCAGTGATGACAGCGAAGAAGAAGAAACAAAGCCGTTTGATAAAAAAGGGGCGAAAAATACGTCATCATCCAACACGGTTTCCTCTGGAGGGGCAGCTAAAAAAAAGAGAAACAAGAAAAAACGTCACAACAGATCGAAAAACAGCCAGGTAAAAGGGTTAGTTGATCGAAATTGCTACAAAAAAGACGAGCTGGAATATGTTTATAGTGTTTGTGGGTATACTTGTGTTGTAATGAACTATTAACTTTCAAACTTGCCTGTTAGAAAATTCACCTAATATTTTCCAAGAACAAAATTAAGGCGAAAGAACATGCGTGTTTATTTTTCAGAGGCAGTAGAAGTATTGAGTATCTGAGCAAAACGTGGACATCAAAAACTTAAATTTAAATGAAATAATCTAAGGAACATTAAGTGTTTTAAGAATCCCAACTGGCAAGGAGGCAAACCAGTTGGCTATTAACAAGCATGGTCGAGGAACTGAATCTGAACTAATCAGGAATCAGGACAAACACAGTCTCAGCTAGTGGCCACAGCGGGACTGTAACCCGGCACCACTGGATTGTGGACAACCCCAATAACCACTCGACCATGCTGCCTCCCTCAAAAAAATGATTATATTCATTGTTTGGGTCGTATTCATATAAATGTGTTGAATAAAATGTGGTCAGAGATGGGAAAAGATTTCATCCAGACTAAAAAGGGCTATTTGTAAGCATAAATGCTTTTTTGTCTTTATGTGATCACAGGGTAATGATATAGATACAGTAGCATCTTCTGACAGCATGCAAGTAACTAAAAATGATGAAGAAAATGGATGGGAGGTGTGGCAAAACAAAGATGAGCAGGCAAGTGCAGTCATCAATTTTCTATTGTGTTTGGTCTTACCCTTGTTGGAATAGCACCAAAAAAAATCCAGATCGTATCTGAAATAAATATGATATTACCTCAATATTGCAGCACATCGGAATTCAGCTCAATTTGGATTGAAATTCTTTTCAGTTTTGTACTTCACATTGAGCTGCTTTGACAGCATGCAATGGGTCTATAGAGACAGTTCCAAGCTCTCCATTCTCCACTCTCCTGCAGTTTCAGCATAGGAGTATACAGTGCTCAGAGAAATGATGCATCAACCTACTACCCTCTCCTTATACATGGGGGTTACCCACCCAAGCTGGAACAGTTTAACTTAGGCCACTGATAAACGTATAGAGATTTTGCACCATCACGTGCCAGTGCCCATAATATAGATTGCGCTGCCTGTGGTTAGATGGCAGGACAATAAAATCCCTTTGCTCTCTTTATTTCTCATGTAAAACAATTGTATTGTTCCTGCAATCTAGTATAGCTGCTGTCATGTGATGTTGCAAAGCCTCTATTGCTTCATACCTTACCTAACGATAAACATGAGGTATGTGGGTGTGGATGTGGATATCACTACTGTTATTGATAGTGGTAGAAACCAAAAACATTAACAATTTTTTATGGAGATGTGAAACCATGCAATGATAACCTTGTTTTCTTCATTCAACATTACAGTTTGTCATGGACCAGTTTCAAAAAGATTTACAGGTAAGTCTGACCTCAGGGTTCCCAGTATCTACTATTATTATATAGTTTGGATAATACACTCTCGCTGATTGGTCAAAAAGTGTACTTTATTACTGAACAGAGCATGAATTTTTCTTTTATTTGTTATATAAAAAGAATAAAAATTAAAGTAAAAATTTAAATAAATAAGAATTAACTGTGGTTCTTCTTTCACTGGATTTAAATTGGAATTTAGCAGCCGATTGTTTTAGAGGGAGGAAAATATACAACACCTGAGTGTTAAGACTGAGTTAATGAGTCTGTAATCAAGGAACACAGTGGTTATTTGGAACTTGAAAAATATCTATTAGGAAACCATCTATGTGCTCCACACAGGAATCACAGTTCATAATATCTGGCCATATGGAACAGATATTCTTTTCCTTTTACTATTTCATGACTGTGTTTACTCATTTTTCTCAGGCTGCCTTAGAAGAAAGCAAATCTGTCATTGGTCCTTCACCATCTCAACAAGCTGGCAATGATCTATCATCTAACAAGAAGAAGAAGAAAGAAAAGACTATATCACTAGATGAATTTATTAGTGGCAATCTAGATGATGACACTAGAAATCCTGTGGAGGCCAATGGAAACTTATCTGCTTGTAAGCAACTAAAGCATTAGCTAAGAGATGTAAATATACAGGGCCGTAGCCACCAGTACAATAATTATCATTTGTACAGTTTTGACCACACTACTTTTACCTTCTGAACAATTTTTCCCCCTCATAAAAAATACTTATCACACAAGTAAATAAAAAAACAGGGCCTAAAAACCGAACCACTATCCAAGTGGTTGCTGTGGCCTTGATGTACCCTTTTCCACATTATCTTATTATGTTTCTGCAAGCTAATTTTTGTTGGAAAAAAATTGAGCTCCAGACCAAATTCAAACTCATGACTTCTGTATGCTAGTAAGATGCTCCAACCAGCTGAGCTTCTTGAATCCTGCCTGGAGCTTGGATTTTTTTCTGAGAAAAATTAGCTTGAAGTAATGTAATTTACAATAACCTAATAATTTATCAAGCACAAAAAACATCAAATAGAGCATTTTCTGTATTAAATTGCTAGAACATCTCAGCATACTTCAGTACCTCTTGACCCACGGGGTGGGGGGAAGGGATGGAAGTTAGACACCAACACCCGTCTTCTCTCACAAACATGTCCATTCAAAGAAATATTTGCTAGGAAATGAAGGGAGCCTTATAAAGCCACGCCCAATTCAAGATGTGTGTTGAGCATAGAAATCCAACCTTCTACATCTAACCATAGAATGACTTTGAACATCATACCTTTTATTGCCTAAACTATGTAATATATTGATTGAACCGATGTGGAATTGTAATTCACCAACAGTAACTTCTTATTTTACTGGTTACTTTTAACAGTCACAGAAGATTTACCTTCATCGATGTTTGGATTAGATGACTTTCAGGTAGGATAATTTCAAAATTGTGTATATTACATCAAACAATAATTTAATTTGGAAAATGTAATTAAAAGCTTTTATTCTATTAATGAGAAAGAACACATGCAGTATCTGGGATGCTTAATCATTTAAACCAACCTGTCCAGTTTGAAATTAATTTGCTAATTGTAAGAAAAGAGCGAGAAACTTTGACTTTCAACAAATGGTACATGCTTCTACTGGAAGAACCGAAAAGAGCAGATTACCACAATGAGAAGACCAGAACTTTCCAATCAGAATGACACATACGCTACCATTTGTCTTTCCAACCGGAATTTCCAGTTTTTCCAGGTACTTGGTAAGCATCCCTAAGATGCTTACCAAGGTCTTAAACACAAAAGTTAAGAATTCTTAAATAATAATAAATGAATGAGTTAAAATTTTTTTTGTTTTTTTTGTTTTGTTATTCAGATGCAGGATTCGCATAGTACTAGTGTCACATTCGTCACAAGTGTATCAAATGAGAAGCTGCCAAAATCTAAATCAAAAAAGAAAACTCATGATAAAACAGAGGATGTTGAAAGTGGATCAAAATCAGAAGCAAAAGTATGTTCTTATTACAGCTAGTTATGTTATGGGTTGTAAAGGGGGGCTTGGATGAAAATTGGAAATGACTTGAAACTTGGTTAAACTTATCTACATTTCCCCAATAGTCGCCAAGGAACATACTTTCTTCACATTCAAAAGTGGGGGAGTAATTGACTTCATTAACTCAAAACTATTTTTCTTTTAGCTTTGAAACCAAAATTTCTTGGTGATAATGTGCTTAAAATGTAGAACATTTGGAAGAGTAAAATTTGAGGGATTTTCGTCCAAGTACCCTTTATAATCATTATTAAGATCAAATCCATACTCATACTCGCACTCGCACTCGCACTCGCACTCCAACTCATACTCATGCTCATACTTACACTCATACTCATACTCATACTCTCTGGGTTCTCTGGTTTCTCCTCCATCCACGAAGATGAACTTCTAAATTATAATTCTATCTACCAGCTGCCTTATCAATTGGGTTGCAAACCTGTTAGGCATTATGCCGTCCACCCAGTAGTATAGTGTACAAAGCGCTGCTCTGTTGAACCACTGAACCATTATTATAGTTTGTTATTTATTTATCATTTTTAATACCACGTTTTCAATTCAACAGAAGATTATCCCTGCAACACAAGAAGAATCTATGAAAGCAGAAATGGTTCACGTCCAAGAAGAGCTTAGTAAGAAAGATGAAACAGTGACCAAACTACAAAAGACTATAGAGAAACAGAAAATATGGATTAGTGACTTACAGGTAAAGTAAAGAGGCACTTAATATATAATCACTTATGAAATGTCTATTTTCTTCTCTGTTATTAGAAAGTAATATCTTCATATGACTCTAAAAAATAACAACATTGGTAAGAATCCTTAGGGATCACATTGACTAATACTAAAAATCCACTCAAATTGTGTTAGTACATGGGCTCTTGGGGATTGTATCTCAGTTCTCATGTCGAGAATATCTTACTCATTTACTGCACTCACTGGTAAGATATCACCTCAACACTCGAAGAAAAAATTACGTATCGTCCACATGTAATATCCTCTATCAGAAGTTCATAGTTATGAACTTCTGCCTCTATTCATTAATCAACTAGAGTGATTTTCATATGACCGTGAAAGAAAATAGACCATTTAGTTTGTAATAGTTGATAAAGAACAAAAGAAAATCATTGGTTTAGAGTCTACTACTAACTACTAGTTTGCCTATTCTTTCACGATCATATGAAAATCACTCTATTGTTACTAAAGTCTAACACGCTAAATTCCAATAGACGGTTTTCTCGAGGATACGTGCGCATCCAGCTTGACGGGCCACAAAACTGAAAAACGCAATTCAGTAAAATTGAAAAGACAGTTTTATATTTAATAACTAGAATAATAATCGATGTTATGAATTCTTATCGAAAGCAATTTCATAGCAGTGCCTGATAATACTAGTGTTCTGGTATCGTGGCCCGTCTGGCAAGTTCCTTACATTTGGACGCACACGCAACCTTGAGAAAACGGTCTATTGTATTAGCTAGTCGTGCCCTGACTTTGATCAGCCTACAGGTTGTCACTGGGTTGGATAAGATTGTTGCATTACCAAGTTGGATACTTTGCTGAGTGGTTTTTGTTTACGTTTACTCGTTTTACTTACAGAAAGAGTTGATTCAAGTCAAAAAACGCAATAAACAACTATGTCACATTCTAGCCCAAGGCGAAAGTAAGTTAAAGTTCTAAGTTTTTCAAATTTTGCTTTTCCACGCGTAAACGCTTTGTTTTGACTCTCCTGTACTCAATAGTTCATGCTATTATTCTTGTGCAGTGAAAGAAAAAGCTGATCTATTAATGCAGATAGAAGAATTGAATGAATTCAGGGAACAGGTAAGACAAGCCATTGTTGCAAGTCCAATACTTACAGTGAATGTAAAGCCGTTCGTTATTCAACACTTTCACATCGCCATGATACATTGCAAATACATCTCATGATATTTCAAAGTGTATAAGAAACAACCAAATGAAAAGGGATAATTTTGAAGTCTATAAAGTAAATTTATATTAAGCACTTCTTCGTGAATCGATACATTTTCTGTACATTAGAGTGAAGTCATTAAACCCGTAAAATATATATTATACTAACACACTTTAGTAGACCCTAATTCCATTGTTTTCTTTTGTGTCTATTTGACTAGAGTGAAGTCACTAAACCCGTGCAATAGATATTAGACTAATACACATTAGTAGACCCTAATTCCATTGTTTTCTTTTGTGTCTATTTGGCTGTTACACGTTGACTAATAATTTTGGTTAAATGCCTTCACTCTAAACGTGAGAAATGAAATCAGAATGACAGTTTTTTGACCAGTTATCCCACCAAAAGTACCCTGGTCCCATAGGCCCGACGATTTTTCTCCACGTATATTTTGAGCCGCGAAAATATACGTAGCCGGGAGAAAAATCGTCGAGCCTCTGGGACCAGGGTACACCAAATGCAAAGCATTACAGAAAGGTTAAAACGCTTGGGCGAGAGTTTGCATTGAAATTCAACAATGCAAACCCGAGCACGTGCGTTTTTACTGGTTTAAAACCCAACCAAGCCCTATTTCTAATGTTCGATGTAGGGCTTGAATTTTGATAGAAAACCTGTCCCGGGTTTTGAATTCAGCATTGATACTAACTCAAATTCAACATCAAACAATAGAATAGGGCGTGGTTGGTTTTTAAGTGCTATGTGAAAATGGCGAATTCAGCTTCTGTTACAAGAAGGACCACCCCAACATTGCTTTTCTCTCTGTCTTTCACAGGTAGTCGAACTACATGCTGAATTAGAACAAGAAAGATCCAAATCGTCCGCGCTTCGACAAGAGATGATAAAACACCAGGTATGGTAATGAAATTTCATATCAGCTTGAACTTCGTCATGAACCATTTTTTATTATTATTATTATTATTATTATTATTATTATTATTTGATTATTATTGTAATGAATGCAATCTTTATTCCGAAATAAAATCATAACAAATGAAAAAATATAAATCTAAAACTATTACAAAAATATTAAAATATAAATGAATAATTAAAAAAACTTGGACTAAAACGGTAAGCGATGTACCATAAAATTTATTACAATTATCCTAACTGATTTTCTGATCATTTCTATATTGTCTTTCGTTTTAGGGCTCGCATAGTAGAGCAAGACACAGCTCAACATCATGATGATTAAAGTACCCATAAGATCAAATCAACTAAAGATAATTATTTATATTTGCTAAGTCCATAAATATTGAATCGGTGTCAAGAATGATTTTTTAGGGCTCATGTTGAAGTTTTGCTCTGGACCTGGCGAAGAGGCCATTTGCAAAAACTCTTTTTATTTTGAGGGACTAGGGCTTAGAGACGGGAGGGGGGGAGCAGAAGACAGTCATCCTTGACCGCATATTACACTAATTCACTTAGGCCCCGTCCACACGTATCCGCAAATTTTTGTATCCGCAAATTTTTTTTTTCGGATACGAAAATGTTCGCGTCCACACGCAGCGTATTCGAATCGTTTTCACTGTCCACAACGTATCCGGAAATTTCTTGATCCGCCCTGATGCACGCTAGTGCATAGTCCCTTTGATGGATAGTTTTTCTTATTGAGCATGCGCAAAATCGTGATTACGTCAACGTATTCGAAAATTTGCGGATACGACCGTCCACACGTATCCGTATTCGGAGCGTGTTCGAAAATGTCCACTCTGGAGACCGTTTTCGAAAATTTCCGGATACGGGTACCAAATTTTCCGGACACGTGTGGACGGGGCCTTAATGCAGCTCAATAGGCCCTTTGCAGTTAACGGTCACGTGTCTGTAGTTAAGAGCAAAATTTTTATTTTAAATTGGTGATTCATTTTAGCTACTTGTAAAGAAGTAAGCGAAATACAGCTTTATTACGATCTCTCGAAACAGGTTGTAGAAAGTGTGTTTTCTCTCAAGTAAATTTCACCCATGGGAATCATTTGGGGATCATTTTTTTTCATTTGCTCTCAGTGAATTAATCAGCACGCGATTACTGACCTTTAAAGGTCTATTAGGAGGACAAAACAAAAGAATTTCAATCGCCTGGGAATTGGAAACCTTTCATTATGTCCTCCAAATTGAGCTGTATTACTTTACGTGCTGCAAGGGGTCTCTAAACCTTATTAGTCATGGTGCAATGTTTTTCCCATTACGGACCACATGTCATTCTCTAGAGTATCATTTCTTTGTTTAACGGTTGCGTATGAGAAGACACATGAATATGGATACGACTCAAACAAAGAATCTTATTCTCAGGGAAATGACACGTGGTCTGAAATGAGAAAACATTGCACCACAACGATTAAGGTCCATTCTGTTACTGTGATAGACTGAAAATAATATCGGGGGGGGGGGGGGTCTGCATTTTATGTTTTTTTTAAATTTAGTTTAGGTCAAGATGGTGTGCTAATAGACCTCCTCGGCTCTAGAGCGTTAGCGTAATGTTGTCCCAGTTCAGACCACGTGTCATTCCCTTGAGAATAATATTCATTGTTTGAGTTGTATCCATATTCATGTGTCTTCTCATGTGCAACCGAGCGCAAACCTTAAACAAAGAAATGATACTCTAGGGAATGACACGTGGTCTGAAATGGGACAACATTACGTTAGAGCCGAGGAGGTCTATTGATACAAGGGGAAGGTGAAATCGAGCAAAACTACAGTACCATATTTTTTCGCGCGCTTTTTGTTTTCCTATGCTTCTATTTGAACTTCTAGCTGATCTGAATAATGACGTAGAAATGACGTCACTGCAAACTGAGGTTTCATGAAGGCTGTGAAATTGACTAGCGAAAAATAAAACCATGCCCGCCATTGGCATAAAAATATAAAACTCAACTGTGTTACTGTCATCAAGCGCGTATTACCAACGTTATTTTTTAGTTTGATTGCCTGGAAATCCGTAATGTCAAGAGAAAAAGTGACACCTCAGTTTTGCGAATGTTTTTGATTCTGATTGGCTATTTTTTTCTCAGGTCAGCTTGTTGTATAAAACAGTTTCAATTGATTTTCGTCTATCACTTTCATCTAAATTGGGCTCCCTGTGGTTAAGCTAGTATCTGGGAACCCCTCCCCTCCTCTTTTTAAGAATCCTGGATCCTACCTCGTTTTTTTTTTTTTGTTTTTTTTTTTTTTCTTTTTTGATTTTTTTCAGGTTCACTGTTTTGTTGTTAATTTTTAAATATTTTCGACCAATCGCGAAAACTGGATATGTTATTTAACAAAATTAAGAAAATTTAGTATTACCAAGATCAATAAATAAGTAGATTTACTTAGTTTTACTTTGATAATGATNTTTTTTTTTTTTTGTTTTTTTTTTTTTTCTATTTTGATCTTTATCAGGTCCACTGTTTGGTTGTTAATGTTCAAATATTTTTGACCAATCCTGAAAACTGGATATGTTATTTAACAAAATTAAGAAAATTTAGTATTACCAAGATCAATAAATAAGTAGATTTACTTAGTTTTACTTTGATAATGATTCTAAAGGCCGGTATTGTGTTTTGGCAATGGAGATTTTGCACCATCAGGTGCTGGCGCCCATAATACAACTTGGACTGCCTGTGGCTAGATAGCAGAACACTTGATGGGTGGCAAGCATTCCCAAGAGAGTTAAAAGATAAAAACATGGCGGCCATTGTGGTAAATGGTACCAACATGGCCGCGATGACGTAACGTGCAAACGAAGAATAGAATCCCTTTGCTCTCGGGGATTGAATTCTTTCTTATGTAAAACGATTGTATTGTTCATGCCATCTAACATGGCTGCCGTCACGTGATGGTGCAAAACCTCTATTAGGACCTAGAGCGAATGTTGTGTGACTGTGAATAACTACGGTAGTATCAAACTAACGTGACGTGACCGTGACCATGACAGTGCCGTGACCGAGCATTGTGATTGGATGAGCAGTTACGTCGTGGGCTGTAATTAGTGTCGTCAATTCCGTACGGAACGTGCCGTCATGGTGGCCACGCCGTGACGGTACTGTACCGTATGCGTTACACAGTCACACAATACCTACTCTAATCAAGACTTGGAAATAATAGTTCATATCTCAATTCGTTCCTTGATTTCACTTAGCAACTCCTGAAACTTCATTGGCGGGATTTCATCTTTGTCATCACTACATACATTGATGTAGAGAAGCTTGGCAAATATCATAGACATCTGTCCCGGGGGAGGCCATTGCAGCTCGTTGTCAAAGATGACTGGGATGATGGGTTTTTTGAGGCAGTCGGCAAGAGTGGCTTCTCGCTGGCAGTTCTCTGACGTTGTGTATTTGCGTGTAACACAAGAGATGATAACCTAAAATATAAATATGATTTCAAAGAAGTCATTGACGGATTTCGTGGCAGCCACGTTTCTAATGCATTTACCACTCCTGGTGAACGGTGTAATGCCTAACAGGTTTTGCATCCCATTTGATAAGGCAGCGACTAGATTGAATTTCCCCTTCACAGATCCCGACGCCATCTTGAAAGATAGCCGTGCCTTTGCATCGAAGCGAGACGAATGGTGAGCTTGCAATGATAGAGACAAGTGAATAATTGTCCAAGGTGTTAAAAAGGTACCCATCATTGCAAGCTTACCGTTCGTCTCGCTTCGATGCAAAGTTCCAGCCAAGCAGAAAGCGCGTTATAGTCGTGGTTATGTTATAAAATAGAGTATGCTCCCTGTTTTAAAGATTGATCCCAGTTCTCTAGTGGTTTCAATATTTGCTGTGTCTCAGTGTTGCTTCCTTTCTCGACCCCAGATTTTCTGCCAATTCGACGAGCATGCGCAGTAAGTGACATGTCTTTTGGGTCGATAGTGTGTTGTTTCACTATCTGAAGTGGTCTTCCTGTGGTTTTACTGACCTTGGCTGTCCGCATTCCTTTATCTATTTCAGAATATAGGGAGTCTCCTCCTCCCATCTGACCAATATCCATCCAGCACGATATGCCACACTTTTCAAGCTTGTCCCTTAGCTTCTTGACCTTGTCCTGGATGTCCCATTGATAGGAGATAAATACTGGGGCTCCTGTGGTCAAGTCCGAGCACTCCCTCGATAGATTTAAGTTCTTGATGGATAGTTTCTCCGCTTTCGAACCCAAAATATATAAATAAAACAGTTTAGTTTTTCCGAGGTTGAGAAAAAACTGGGTCGAGTTAGCATCGTATTGCATTGTGGGAGTATTTTAAAGGACGAAATAGCTTGATGACACTAGAAAACGTTTGCGCATGCGTGGATTTCAGCACGTTTTCTAAGAATTTAGAAGAGTTTGAGTGAGAAAATCAATGTTTGTTCCCTCCAAGTATACAAAAAAGTTCGAGATTATACTTTTGTAAGACCAAGATACTGTATTAACAAACACGATATGAAAGAAATAGTCTTAAGTTTCAAGCATGGACACTAAGTTTTGGCATTTTGTGAAGTCCAATTGATCAGGCATGTTTGAAAGTCAAATTTACTCATGTTTTGACTAATTTGCATATGGATTCAGAGCATGCGCAGACGTTTTTCACTCGTGTCCTTGTTGATAGGTTTTATCGCAGGGAGGAAAACCGGAGAACACGGAGAATCAAGGGAATCTCACAGTCTCTATTCGCATGTACACCCCTTCCCACCTCTGTGTTGTTTTTTACATACCTATGGATGGAGTAGGGTCCAGACTGCATAACCTTGTCTTTGCCACCATAAAACTAACCTCTGTCGGCGCATTACCAAAGTATAATATAGCAGCAATCAGCTGGTTACCAGGGATGTCAGGGGGCATGTTCACACGGCCCTTAACTTGAACCCAGGCCTCTGAGGAAACACCGCTGGCCGTTGCAATGAAGAGGTAACGGAATGACGCGTCCGTCGCCAGTCGGCACTGTAGTTTGACGTTAATGTTGTGTTTTTCGTTCGCTGGCATATCTGGATGTAAGCGTAAGTTGGCAGAGAACTTGTATCGGTGGCCTGAAATTAACAAAGCAAACAAAACGAAACCAATGGACGTCCTTTATCACACGGCAGCCATGTTTGTTCTCAAGAGAGTAAAAACCTTTGTTTAACCCATATAATTTATTCTCAAGCACTTGAATGCGGGGCCGCACAAGTGATGAATCGATTCTATCATTCACACCTATATGGCTGCCGCCCATAAAAGATTTTAAAAACAAACTATCTTATAATCTTGTGTTGACTTACGGCGTAAAGACGGATCCTGAAAAATCCAAAAGGAAGAGCTGAGCTATAGTCTTAAGAAAATGCACCCGACCTCCAGGACAGGGCGGGAAACTAACGTGGCGGGACCAAGGATATAAGGCGCATCTAACAGCTTGAATGCACGGGAGGCGGGGAACTGAACGACTTAACGAATTGAACGCGCCTTAACCTGCAATGTCTTTGTCATATTTGTTACATTTATTTATTCATTTAACTTTAGTGTAAATTTCGTACATGAGGAACACGGCACGGTCACGGTAAGGAATGGTGCATGACATCCATCCATTGATTAAAGCAGCAATAGTGAGAACTTATCACGCATGTATACAGCTATTTCAAAAGAGCTTGAATACTGTATACTGCATACTGAATAGTGCATTCCAAGACATAAAGGCATTGTGGGTCTCGTTAATTTGAAATAAAAAGTAAATATACAGCAATTAACTCTCTACATGAAGTTAGTATATTGTTTCAGATGGAATACACTAAAAATAGAATAAATAATAATTATTAATCCTACTTTAGACAATGTCACTATGAACCACAATGCCCTTTGGTCTTGGAATGCACTATTCAGTATGCAGTGATTCAGTATTCAACCTTTTTTGAAATAGCTGTAGAATAAAGTTATGGCAATAAAAGTTCTGATTATCTCCCTAAACATTACAGGCATAAACAAAGAAATGCTTCTCAAGGTAGACCCACGATTGAAGATAAGAGAGCATTATGTTACAAGAGAGCGACTACATCAACCATGAGGCCACACAAACAATTTTTTAAGCAAATTCACAAATCACGCTTTTGACGCCGAACAAATAACAGATGAATTGATGCATGAATTCTGGATTTCAAATTGTTTTTTGTTCACTCCTTATCATACACATACTCGTATAAAGTAAAAATGTGTGCTTTTGAAAATATTAAAATTTGTACAGATTCTATTGTTCAAATACTCGATCGTGATTGGTTAATTGCTATATAAAAAAATGTGTCTGGGTGGCCTTGGTAAAAGTTGTATCTTAACTTTGCTTTTACCTAGAGACACAGTATTCATCAAGTTTTGTCCCAGACCTCCGTAGCTTTCTTTCCGTTCAGTCGACACGCACACGTGATTTGTACCGTCAAATTTCTCTTCTGGATGAACGTAGACTTTAGCTTTACCAAACCCGTACCAAAAGTGTGGATGCCCGTTGGTTGAAACACTGAAATCGGGATTCTGTAGCAGGTTTTCTATAAAAAATTGAGAAATTGAGAAATTGGTGTTTAACACTTAATTAACACTGTTACTGTTCTGTTCTGCATGCATGTCCTGTCCTTTACTGTCCTTTACTGTCCTTTACTGTCCTTTACTGTCCTTTACTGTCCTATCCTGTTCTGTTTTTTTGCTCTTTATCACTGCTCTCTGCTCAGCTGCTCTGCTCTGCTCTGCTCTGCTCTGCTCTGCTCTGCTCTGCTCTGCTCT